TGTGTTTGTCAATGAAGTTTTATTAGGAACAGCCATGCCCATTCATTTCAGTTATGTCTGTGGGTGCTTCCAGGCTGTAATGGCTTGAGTGGTTGCATCAGAACTTTTGGCTCGCAAAGCTTAAAATATTCATTATCTCGCCCTTTATAGAAAAAAAAAAATTTGCCCACCTCCGATCCAGAAAATGGTCTGGTGTCTGGGTTTTGTTCTACTTCTCAGGATTAATAAGATTAACATACTCAAGTTCCTATTCAAACTACTCCACTTAACAGAGAGGTCCTTATTTTTTTTTTTTTTAATTGATGATCTTTGAAGTTTGTATGAGAGGAAAAGTTCAACGGTTTGGATCTGGGCTCAAATTAATATAGTTTCTCTGCTTTGGGGGACACAGCTTGGTTGTGGCCCTTGAGCTGAATACTTTTACAAACCCGGAAGCAAGCAGGCAGGTGACATGGAGTGCTTTCTGCTCTGGAGGATGTCTTTTACTCAAGCTCAAAGACACGCTGCTCCTTCCAAAACTGAGAGTCAAAGGGTCTATCTATATTCCTCTGACTCAGCTAGTCCTATTTTCAGCAGAGGTTCAGATACTGTTTGTTCGCACCTAGCTTTTCTCATCAATAGAAGCATGCCCTTTTCCAACTTCTTTCTTCTTAAATATTTCTTAAAAACTAAACACTTGAAAAGAAACACAGTGTTCCCCAAATACTAATACGTTCTATGAGTTAGTTTTTTGAAGCTAAATGCATCTGACAATAACTTTGCAGCCAACTTCGGAAGAGAAAAACGGCTTTCCAACTCACTGTGCAGATGTTCAATCATATATATGAGCCTTTCATATCATTTTTTAAAACTTTGTATTATGGAAATTTTCAAACGTATGCAAAAATAGAACAGTATAATAAACCCCCACGTCCCCAGCAACTAGCTTCAACAAGTATCAATATTCTGTTTTTCCCTATGTATCCTTCTTCCCAGCTTTTTGTTGCAGTATTTAAAAGCAGACCTCACACATTAAATCGCTTCTTCCATAAATGCTTGTTTATTTCTGTTAGCTAAGACCCTTGCCCTTGACAAAACTGTGACACCGCTATTACACCTGACAAAATTAATAATAATTCTTAATATAATCTGATGCCCAGGCTAAGTTGTTTTCCCCAACTGTCTCAATAATGTCTTTTTATAGCTGCTTTGTTCAAGTAGGGATCCGAATGTGCCCACATACTACATTTTGTCGCGAGGTCTCTTAGGCCTCTTTATATCCACAATAGAGTCCTCTCGTTTTTTTTCTCACTCACACTTAAATTCTAACTGGCCACGCCACCCTTATCGAGAGTAACACCTCTTCGGCCCCCACAGGCTATTGACAGGCCTTTAAGCCCCCCGAGGCACAGACTCACACGCAGTCCGCAGCCAGGACCACAGGCTAGCCTATCACACATTCCCTGCTCTCCAGAGAAGGAACTTAGATCGCTTCAGCAGCTAATGCTCTAAAATTAAATCTTTTCTGTGTTGCGATGGCCCGAAGACTCAGAATGATTTAAAAAGACAAAGCACCCATTCATTATGGCTTCTTTCTGAAGTTAGCTGAATTTAATCAAGAATCTCAAAGTAAATCAGTAAAACAGGCCTTCTCATCCATTATCGTCACCAGTAACACTAATTGAACACCGAGATCATGCAGGGCACTGGGTTATAAAAAGGATGACCTGTGTCCCTGCCCAAAGTAACTTATAGCCTAAATGGAGAGGCTATTGCATCATTTAGACAAAAACACCCAAAGACGACTCCAGGCCTAGAACCACCCAAACCAATATCCGTGCCTGTGCCATTAGGTTGGGAATATCTGTGAGGCCTCTGTGGTAGAATAAGACCAAGGGTCAGAAGAAACAGAGTTTATGACTGCTAGTTCTATCATTTATGAGTTGTGCCACACTGAATAAGTTCCTTACCTCTCTGATTCTCAGTTTTATCACCTGTGAAATAGAAATAACCCCCACCCTCAGAGTAGCAGGTCTTAACACTGAAGTGGAAAATCGTATATGAAAGCCTACCAATAAGGAGGATTAAAATAATAATAAAACCACTGAATATCATACTATGCCAGGCACTGGGCTAAAATGTTTTATGTATACTCTTTCACTCAATCCTGATACCACTCCTATAGGGCATCTCCCATCCTCATGTCATTTTCCAGATGAAGAAAATGAACAGAGTGAGTTAATTATCTGCCCAAGCTAACACAACTAAAGGCAGGAGGTGGGTCACAGGACCTCAGGGTTCTTGCTGTTAATTATGGCAAGATAATGCCTCCCAGAGACCACCACTGTAGGGTGTAATGGTGGGAATCAGGGCAGCCTAAGTTGTTGGGGGGTAAGATTATGGCTATTATGGCTATAACATCAATTATATTGTAAAGTCACAGGTACAGCACCCCATAGCCCACACCCTGCTCAAAGAGGAGCCCCAGGGGGCTCCCAGAGTTGCCCTACCCAAAGCGTGGGGATGTTCAGAGTCTCAATAGTGGTTTCCTTCCTTAATGGGGCAAGTCTTCGGCTGTCTGCTAGAGTGTTTAAGACTTTTATTAAAAGTCTCAATCACTCAATATTTGTTCAAACAGGGCCAAAGTAAAATTATGTTTTCCTATATAATTTCTTCCTCTTTGTACATAAATATAATAAAAACAAGACTAAAAGAAGCTAGTCTCCAGGGAAGAGGATCAATCGCCTGCAGCCACCATGTTTTGAGAAGCCCAACCTAGCTAAGTGGAACAGGCACCTGGAGAACAGAGGCCACAGCCAAGAGCCCGGCAGGTCTCCTGGCCCACGGCCATGGGAGTGAAGCCATTTTGAACCTTCTCACCTGCAACTACCAACATGTGAAGCTTCTGTATCACCCATTCGACTCACAGAATTGTCAGAAATAATAAAACGATGTAAGTTTAAGCTGCCGTGTTTGTTTAAGCCACTTTGGCGTGGTTTGGTAGATAATCGAAGCAGCCAGAAATCAGCTTTCTCAGCCAGAACAAACATCAAAGCTGTGAGAAGTATGTCAATGGCAGCTCACTGCTGTTTATGAATAGAAAGGCTACAGTCCTTCCATTCGAGGATGCTCATTGGCTGAAACATCTAGCTCTATAAACCCAGGCCTACACTGTACCTGGCTAAACAGTGTTAAATAAATAAATAACTTTACCATTAATAACAATAATAATGGCAGCTAATATTTACTGAGTGTTTCTTCTATACAAGGCTTCATGCTAAACATTTTATTAATCTAACCTTCACAAAATCCTTTTGAGGCGGACCGCTATTATGCCCTTTACAGATGAGGCCACTGAGACTCAGGGTGGTACAATGACTTGGCCAGGATCACACAGCCCATAAAGAGTGGCACAGGACTTCTCCCTCTGGCCATCTGACTCCAGAACCCGGGCTCCTAACCGTTGGCTTTAGTGCCCCTTCAAGTGTCCTTCTACTTCTATAAAGTTGCCTCCCTCCAAGAGATAATGTGTGCAAAGAGTTTAAAACTATGCCTGACCTATGGTAAGTTTTCAATAAACACCAACTATTATTAGTAGGAAACCTGCAGATGGGGAAGGGAAGAGCATTGTGAGACTTGAATTAATGTCAGCTATTTTGGTAATTTGAACAGGCCTCCTTCACCAGCAAGCAGCCTGGAATTTGGTCATTTTCTGCTTACAAATCTGCTGTCTCCTGGATGGTGAGCTCCTAGAGAGAGCTATCCCTGATTCTGATTCATCTGTGCAGTCCAGGACTCCGCACATGGCCTGGCCAGAACAAGCAGGTGCTCAAGAAACGTTCACTGAACGGAAAAGAAATGCTTCGTTCACCACGAACTTGGATTTCCAGGACGCCACCTCCCTCCTCCATCGGTCCTTAAAGTGATTCCAAAGAACAGGAGAGGGCAGGTAGGGACCCATTTGAAAATTGTGGGCACCAATGAGCAACTTGGGATAAGAAGTAGAGTTGGGCTTGTAGCCAGGATACTCGAGAAGTCTGTGCAACTCTCTGGCCAGCCACAGAGAGCGGAACCTCCCCGACTCCCCGGCATCGGAAAAGTCCCAGGGAAAAAGTAAAGACCCTGGGTGGAAGCCCTCACCCCACCCCAAGGTGGCCGCTCCTCTCCCGCCCCTCCAGGGCCGCCGCGGGAGGAGGAGGAGGAGGAAGAAAAAGAAAGTGACAGGAAGTCAGTCGGAAGTTTCCCAACAACAAAAACTCCCCCCATGGGAGGGCTCCCGGTCCTTGGCCGCCCCGCCCAGCGAGGAGGGACCGCCACAAGTGAATCAGGACAGTTGGGGGGCCCGCTCCTACGGTCCCAACATGGAGGGCCTGGCCTCCAGCACTCCTCCGCGTTCCATACACCCCGAATTCTGTGAAAAGCTCCCAGGGAGGGGAGGGGGCGCCCCAACTGTTACTTACAATCGTCTAAGTCATCCTGCAAGTCCACAAAGTACAGGGGGATCTCTAGAAACCAAGAGACACAAGGAGTTACGAGGGGGCTGTGACAGTTGGGCTCAAGGACGGGCGGGGAGGGGTCCCCGGGCCTTGCTGGGTGCTCGGGACTAAGGAGGAAGGGGCCGCTCCAGCGCCCCCAGAGCCCGGCCCCACTTACCCGCCATCTTGGGATGGGCCTGGAGGCGGGGCCGGCGGCACGGGGCGGGGCCTA